TTTTGTATTTTTAGTAGAGACAAGGTTTCACCATCTTGGCCAGGCTGGTCTTGAAGTCCTGACCTCATGATACACCTGCCTCAGTCTTCCAAAGTGCTGGGATTACAGGCATGAGTCACTGTGCCCTGCCACACACACATTTTTATAACAGCAGAATTCACAATTGCAAAATCGTGGAACCAACCCAAATGCCCATTAACCAACAAGTGGATAAAGAAACTGTGGTATATATATATATACAATGGAATATTATACAGCCATAAAAAAATGAATTAACAGCATTTGCAGTGACCTGGATGAGATTGGAGACTATTATTCTAAGTGAAGTAACTCAGGAATGGAAAACCAAACATTGTATGTTCTCACTGATATGTGGGTGCTAAGCTATGAGGACGCAAAGGCATAAGAATGATGCAATAGACTTTAGGGGCTTGGGGAGAGAGTGGGAGGGGAGCAAGGGATAGAAGACTACAAATATGGTGCAGTGTGTTCTGCTTGGGTGATAGTGCACCAAAACCTCACAAATGACCGCTGAAGAACTTACTCATGTAATGAAATACCACCTGTACCCCAATAACTTACGGTAAAATTAAAAAATAAAAAATAAACACATTTCCAAGAGTAAGGAGATGCTGAGAGTTAGTTTATGCACCAGAGTCAATTTCTCTGCACCACTCCTCACAAGCCTAGGAAATAAGCTTAGAACATACATTCCTCAGCTCCACAACAATCTCTTGGAATTTCCCTTCCAGGTTCTGCTTTTTCTCCCTCAGTCTCTTCTGTGGTAAGCTGTCATTTAAGCTACAGCAAAACATTATCTTTCTAGAGATTACACAGGAAACCAGAGAAAAGTTCCAGTCTCCATAAAACAACCCAACCTTGCATAGAGCCACCTCCAGGAAAGACGGAAGAAATGCTCACCAATGGTGATAGTCTGACGATAAACCTGAAGACCTCTCCAAGCAGGAATGACTTGTAAGAAGCATTCCAAAAAGGTACTCTGTTCTAGTGGAAAACGTTTGGTTCTGGTTCAAAGAAACCCAGCACGTGCTACTTATTAGCTCTGTGACCTTGGGCAAGTTATTTGACCTCTCTGAGCTTCTATTTCATCATCTATAAAATGCTAATGGTAAAATGACAATGACAATGCTTACTAGCATAGTTAACACAATAACTAAGAAGTATTAATATAAAGGATTCTGCTTATAGTAAGAGATCCATAAATGGTAACAATATATTTATTTATTTATTTATTTTCCAAACACAGTACCTTGCACAAAAGTTAATAAATATTTGTGGACAGGAGGAAAGGAGAAAGGAAGAGGGAAGGGGAAAAAGACTTGAAAAAGATTCAAGTTTTGCACAATATAAATCCTGATAGAATTTTTCCTCTTTTTCACTAATAAATTATCTGATTATAACACAGATCTATTGAGGAAACTGTTTGAATACCATGGACTATTAGCACACAGATCCTGCAGATCAGAGCCCTCCGGTGGCCAAGCTTTGCTACCTGTTAGGACAATTATGCCCACCTTGTCTCTTACAGCTGCATGTCACCGCCTAATCCCTGCTGTCCTAGATGCCTATTACCTACACTGACACCAGGAAGCCCAGTTCCACAGCAGCTTCCCCTGGCATCAACCTCAGCCTAGAAAGGACAGTGACCACGAGCTTTTCTGAGACGCGCCCCTCACTAGTCATTCTTTGTTGCTTTAGTAAAAGAAGTGGCCACTAAACTCTCCATACAGACACAGCCAACTGGCAAGTTCTCTGGTCTTATGTAATAAATCCATTCTGCCAGGCCCACTTCTCTATGCCTTTTGTTCCTCAGTACTCTGCCATGACAGTTCCGGCATCTTCTTTTCATTAATGCAAGCCACCATTTTCCCCGCTCTTGAAGGACACATCCCAACAGCACACAGGGACCAGATCTAGGTGTCCTTAGGATTACATTAAATTCTGAGAATGCCCAGGTATCGATGAAATCTTCTTATCCAGTCTTATATTCTGCCACCCCACCCCCTATATCCCTGTCTGAAACCCTCAAGATCCTTGCTAAGCACACTCCACCAATTCCTCCTGGTTAACATTGTCAAATTCTGAAGCTGCTTCGGGGAGATGCTTGTTCCTCCCACCACAGAGCAAGTTCTTCCCCAGCCTGATCATCCTGAGACTTGGCCGTAATTAACCAACCAGAATAATACGGGGTTGTGGGCAGTATTTGAGGAGGGCAAGTATCATCATGTAAAGCATCCTCCTCGGCATGGTCTCCAGCCAAGGGGAGTCTGCTCTCCACTAGCAAGGAGAAGCCAGGAGATTCCTCTGCAGAGAAACCTCAAGTCCATCATCCACCTAACTGTTCCCACTCTAGGTCTCCATGTCCCACCTTTTCCCCATTACAACCTTCACTTAAGTATCGGAGACTTGCCAGAGTGGTAAATTCAGCTCTTTTATTAATTCAGCTGCTCTCCTAATTAGATATTAGGCCTAATGTTCAGCACAGTCTGCCCTTCAGCTGCATTCAAAAACAGTCTCTTCAAATCAGCTTTCATACATGCCCTGAGGGCTTTGACTCCACTTCATGACCAACACAGTCCTTATAATTACCATTGTCTTCATATCTCCCAAATGTTATTGTATTAGCCAGTGCGTGCCTTCCCATGCGTATTCCATATTAATTCACTACAAGGCAGTCAGTACCGTCATGAACTGCACAACGTTTTGGTCAATGGCAGACCGCACATATGATGGAGGTCCCATAAGATTTTATTTTTTCTGTACTTGTTCTATGTTTAGATACACAAATACTTACCATTATTTTGCAATTGCCGACAGCATTCAGTATAGTAATCTGCTGTACAGATTTGTAGCCTAGGAGCAATAGGCTAGGCTATACCGTCTAGGTTTGTGTAATTGCACTGTGATGTTCTTACAATGACAAAACGGCCTGATGTGTTTCTCAGAATGTATCCTCCTCATGAAGTGACCCATGACTGTAATTGTGGTGCTACAGCATGTCTTATTGCTCTCACAGCAAACATTACTGCTTCCTGCATTAAAGCTGAGTCTCCCAAAAGGCAGCTAAGCTGGAATTTATCCATTTGGCCCCTTAAATCCACTCTTACATTTCTTTACCTTGATGCCTAGGAGGCCAACATTTATGGACTGAATCAATGGGTTTTCTCACTCTCTGTTTTCCCATTTGATTCCCATGTGGTTTTCTTCTTTCTTTTTTTTTTTTTTTTTTTTTTTTTTTTTTTCTTTTTTTTAGAGATGGGGTCTTGCTCCGTCATTCAGGCTGGAATGCAGAGGCACGGTCACAGCTCCCTTGCAGTCTTGACCTCCCAGTCTCAAGCGATCCCATCTCAGCCCTCCAAGTAGTTGGGACTACAGGTGCACACCACCACACCTGGCTAATCATTTTATTTTTTGAAGAGACAGGGTCTTACCATGTTGCCCAAGCTAGTCTCAAACTCCTGGCCTCAAGTAGTTCTTCCACCTCAGCCTCCCAAAGTGCTGGGATTATGGGCATGAGTCACCACACCTGGCTTGATTCCCATTTCATCCAACAGAAGACCAGTGGATGGGAGGAGAGTGAGGATGGGTATCTGCTCCCCCAGCTCCCTCCCTACCAGGTCTCAGCTTGGGAAGGGCTGCATCCTCCTACCAAAGGCGGCAGCTCCTGTCAAGGATCTCACGCCTACAGTTCTCTCTGGGGTCTGACAATCACTCCCTCCCCTTGTTCCTTCAGCCTGGGGTTGTCCATTGCTGCTGAACCAGATCTGTTTCACCCCCCTTGTTGGTTTCCTTAATTCTACTCACACATTTATAAATCATCTCTTCAGTATCCCACGACAACAGATCACTGGTTTCCTTAATCATGCTGTGGTCATCTTTCCTCAAATCCTGCCAAGTCCTTTGTGCCTCAGAAAATTCTGAGGAAAGTCTTCAGGGGTAGGTTGAAAACACTTGGCTGGCAGCATCCAGGATTCATCCCTAATTATCACCCACTTTTCCAGCAGAGACCCCAAGTACTTGCCTTCCTTTTATGTTAGAGTGACTTCCTTTCCTACCAACACATCTGCTAAAGATTGGGTGGATTTTGCTCCTGCCCTTTGTTCCCAAAGTTCACCCCACTTCCCAGTACTCGACTGTCAATCTCAACATTTGCTTTATTGTGTTTAGGGGGACTCACTGAATCCTTATTCAAGGTGGACTCCTGGCTCCCAGCCGTGGTATTCATGGGTGTGTCTATGCAGTTTGTGCCATCTTTGGGACTCATGCTACCCAAGGTCATCTGTCTGTGTCCCTTACTAAACATCACATGCCAAATTCATGATTAAGTAAAAATAATCCTGTCGTTTAGTTGAGGTGTGCTTCTTACTGTTATTCCAAGTGTACTAAAAATTAAAAAGACCTTCTTGAAAGTTTTCATGAATTCAAAAGACAGAGGACACGCTTTATTGGCATCAGTATAGGTTTTCTTGGCAGATTATGAAAAAGGAACAAGGTTAAATTCAACCCTAAAAATGCCAGAATTAAAGTCATTTGCATAACATTAGAGTTTTGGGTTGTTTTTTTTTGTTTGTTTGTTTTTTAATCACGGAATTAGCTAATTAGAGAGGGCAGGAGCTAGAAAATCACAGACTTTTTCCTCTGAGCCAGCGATGCAGTTTTACCCCTAAACACATGTAAAATTTCTGAGCTTAATAAGTCACAATTTAAATTTAAAATATGATAAATGGGGAAGAATACTTGTACGTGACCATTTTGCCATAGCTGTGGGAGAACATCACACTCTAAAACATGAGTTTACTTTCATAAGTTTTTAAGGCTAAATGATAGCTACCAGCTACATATTTTATTTCTGAGTTTATTTGTTTTTTAATCACAACATAGCCTCTTTATTAAGGATCTTAAGGGAGTTTAGGGAATTTTGCTAGGGAAAAGACTTATCCAAATCCAAACATCTTATCATTGAAGCTACTCTCTTTTTTTTTTATCTGAGCACTTTCTATTTCTTGTGTAGATAATTGCTCAGTTAAAAGGGGTAAGGGAGCATTTTCCCTAAAGAAGATTGCAGTTGGAGCTCCTCTGAGGTAAGGAAGACCAGTGCGTGGGTTTTATTCATTTATAGTCCTTTAATCCTAAATCCGTTGGAGTCAGTGGTTAAACAGAACATGAGAATTTAAAGACTTTCACTTTCCAGCCCCATTTCCTAATTACACCCAGTATGTTTAAATCATTAGCATATTATGAGTCCAAATTGGGCAAGGATTGTGATACACAAATTATGTTCCAAGAATCAAGGCAAAGAAAAATTAATTTGCCGGTATATGAACTGGAGAAATTATTTTGGTGAAGACACAAATATTGTTTTGCACTTTTAACATAAGTAGGCTGCATCTGGGCCTTTTGCCTGAGCTGGACCTAAGGGGTGACAGGTAACCTCCTCCATGGGTATGGTCGAAATTAAACAGCCTTGCATCCAGGAAGTATAACTGCTTGTGCTGCTCACACAGGTGGGTCTGTGAGACTCAGGCCACTGGCTGGGCTCCGCAGACCGTGCCAGCCTCAGATGGTCTCACACTCCGTGGTGGCAGTGGAGCAGGCTCCGCAGTCACAGCGGATGGCCACGGGATAGGTGTAGAAGGGATCAACTCCCGGGGCACAGTTGGGCAGCTTGACGGTCACCTGTTTGGTCTCGTTGTAGGTACAGACTCGATGATGGGCTTCAATGTAGGGGGGTTCCAGAATGGGTTTCTGTCCCCACAGATAGAAAACAGGGAATTCATTAGAACATATGATCCTGTTTCAATGTTTTAGTATCATTTATCACTCTCAGAAATTAACTTGTTATTCATTGGTTTACTTGTTGCTCTGTCATCTGCCAGTAGAAAACAAACTCCTGAAAGCAAGAAGCTGATTTCATTCAAGACCATATCCTAAGCTCCTAGGAGAGACCATGGCACACAGCAAGTGCTCCATACATAGTCAGTAAATGAGTCATCTTGGTCATTGCAAATGCCTTCTAACTGGCCTCCCATCCTCCTTTATTACTCCCTGCAATCTATTTGCAACACGGTGGCCCTGAGCGATCCTTTTTAAACATAAGTCCCATCAAGTTACTCTACAGCCCAAAGCCCCAGTGATTTCCCATCTCAGAGCAAAAATCAAAGACCTTACGATCACCTTCAAGACCTCCATCACCTTCTCTGCACCTCTGCCTTCTGAAATGCCTGCAACCATCCCCACCTCATGGACCTGACTAGCTCAAAGAGGTCTCCTTATTGCTCCTCAGATCCACCACGAACCGTCCCAGCTCAGGGCCTTTGCGCTTGCTGTTCCTTCTGCCTGGAACATTCTTCTCCCGTATGATTCACTCCTTCGCCAATCTTTGGTTTTTGTTAGAACGTCACCTTCTCAGGGAAGCATTTTCTGACCATCCTGTTTAAAATTGCAACATTCCATCTCCATGCCCTGAAGCTTCCCATCCCCTACCCTGCTTTCCTTTTCACCATAACACTGGTCAATAGCGCGTGGCATCATCTATCTTTCACTCATTCATGTGATATTCCTCCCACTCCAGAAAGGAAGCCCTTTTAGGACAGATTTTTGCCTGCTGCGCTTCCAGTACCTAAGACAGACCCTGGGATGGTTTCAATAACAATTTGTCATTGAACCAATAAAAGAAAACATTATAAGAGAGGTTCCTGAATACTCTGTGCACTGTTCCGATCATCGAAAGATTCATTTCCTTCCTTCACCTTTTATAAATCTTAAGTTCAAAGATAATTTTGATAAACAGAACACATAGATCAGACACAGAATCAGCACAAAGCAGGAGTTAAAATCTCGAGCACTGCAGTCAGAACTATGGAGCTTGAGTCCCTGTTCTGCCACTTGCTGGAGACCTTGGAAAATCCACTTAACTTCCTGAAGACTCAGTTTCTTCCTCTGTAAAACAAAATATCTACCTCCCACCATTGTTTGGGAGATAAGGTAAGACGATATACTCCATGCACAAAGCCTAGCACAAAGTAAGTGATCAATAAATGTAATCCATTGTTCTTATTAAAGCAATCACTATATGGAAGTAATCATGAAAATAATAACAAGCTTTCAAATAACAATACCTTTGCTTTTTTGTTCTTCTTTGTTCTAGGCAAAAAAGAACATATATATATGTAGCTCAAGTGAAGCTTTCATGAATGTCATGAAAATAGGAGCCTTGCCTTTTTTTTTTTTTTTTTTT